TTCTTGGATGGCTCCAATATGTTGTGTAATTTCTGTCTTCATGCTGTCCTCTCTGTCTGGAATGCCCTTTTGCACATCTGGTTGGTGAAATTTAGCTGCTCTTTTGCAAAACCTAGCTTCCCTGGTTGGAAGGAGTCCCTGCATGCCTTGGTCTTTACTATTTTTACACATTCTATTGTACTGTTCACTGTCAGCCTCATGTTTCTAGATTTTGAGTTGTATGTGGTCTGGGAGATGTCTGATCACAGTTTCCTTTTAGGTCTCTTAAAGTGGAACTAATTCCAAAGGATATTATTTTATTTGCTCTTAATATATCTACTACTGTGGACTGCCTGAGATAATTTTCTGTGCTTGTTATGAACTTTGATCAGAACACCATCTCTTGCAGGTCTTTGTCCTTGTCACAGTTGGTTCCTATTGAAAATGAGAGGGGAGGGGGCCATTTACTAAACGCCGCCTCTAGGTTCTTTACATTATTTTATGTTTGTAACTTAAATGTTACCCTCATTCTACAGATGAAATATGAGACCAGAAAGCGTAAGTCATTTACATTAGGGGGCAAAGTGAAGATATGAATTCCAGTTTGGAATTAAACATGATGCTCTCTTTGATTTGAAGAGGTTGGCTCTGTCCGTTTGCATGTAACAACAGGTAGACACTCTGAAAGCCTGCTCTGGCCCCTCTAAAGGATGAGATTCTAGGAGATAGTACTTAAAGCTTCTATGTGGTCATTTGATTTAGCAGTTAAAAATATATTTGCATCATCTGCTGCTCAATACATACTTGGAGGCTGATGGCATTTTCTCTAGTCTCCAGATGAAGGAACAGATTTAGAGGGGTGATTGAGTTTTTTTAGGCCTGCATCATTTCAGTTTGTATGGTTTGTTTACTCTACTGCCTTGCCTGTCCAGTTGACGGAATGGGGGAATGTATTGCAATTATCTTGTGAATACTGAATCTCAATACTATTGAGGTATTTAGGGATTGAGAGACTCTTCATCTAATAAGAAACAAGAGCAGGAGACACTTGATATTTTAAATGGAAGTTTAAGGAAACCAGGATGAACGGCACACGTAGGAGAGAAATGGCCACCACCTAATCTAAGCTGTTGGTCTTTCTTGTAATTGTTTGCCACATATTGTGTGTAAGACTGTGGCCCTGTCTGCTGCTAACAATGAGGCATTCTTGAAAAGAAAGCAAATTTTATACATAATTTGTACAGATCCTATGAGTGATGGTCTAATGGGCATTGAGAGCAAAATAAAATTTTAAATCAGTGATTTGGACATGATTCTGTGTAGTTCTGTTATTTAAATGTTGCTGTTAGGTGCTGCTGAGTCAAGTACAACTGAGTGACCCTGAACAGATCTGAACCCTGTCCTGTCCTGTGTCAGCCTCAACATCCCTGACATTCTTGAGCTCATTGCTGCAGTCACTGTGTCAGTCCTTCTACTGAATTTCACTGACACTCCACCTTTGTAAATACTACAAACCATGATATTTATTCTTCTTGTTGATTGCCGTCAAGTTGAGCACAACTCATAAGACCCTGTGAACAAAAGGCCTGAAGCTTTTCTATAACTATTGTCATTTAGATAATTTTTATATATGATGAAGAGAGTATGAAGCATTGTAGACATTAAGAATAATTTATGGCTAAGGAATCTCTAATAATTCTAATTTCTTGCTTCTAAATTCCAAAGAAAAAGATTTGTTGTGAGTTGGAAATGCCGATCCTAGACCATGAGGTCTTGAAAATGTGTGCCATTCACTTTTCATTCCTTTACATTGAATTCAACCCAGATAATATCCCCAGATGCCCGCTATGAGTTTGCTCAAGGTTGAAGCAGGAGCAGCAAAGGAACAAGCTGGGAGCACAGTTAATGAGCACTTCTGAGAGCAGACATTAACAGAATGGATCCCTTCACTCACGTCTCTGATAAGGGAGCTCTGATGGCTCAGAGGTAAGGAATTGCGCTGCAACACAAAGGCATACAATCCAAATCCATCAGCTGCTCGGAGGAAGGAAGCGAGACAATCTCCCTTGTGATTCACTGCCTCTGAAAGCCGGCTGGGGGTGGGCCGGGGTTGGTACAACTCTATGGTACACAACTTAGGCCTACACTTAACTATTGAAATAAAGCTGACTCCAGGGCTTTCTGTTCCTTATTGCTGACCCTTTCTTTCCTTTTCCTACATCTTCTATTTTCCTATCTCTAAACTGCCCCAAATTTAGGTTTTACTTTACAGTTATAATTTTTCACATGTATATGTAAAACCCAACAATGTGGGAACCCAATATGATACGGTTCATCAGTGGCATTAGAAAGAAAACTAAAGCAAAGGAGGCTGATGAAAGCAATGCAGGTTATAAACAGAGCCAGACCCAAGGTTCCTTTTCGATTTCTATAACCCCAGGCCAGTGTATACTGAGTGAACAGCCCTGCTGGCCTAGTGGGATATGTGCTGGGCTGCAAAGGACTCCACTTCATGGAAGCGGAAGAAAGATGGGCAGTGTCTTCCTGTAAAGTCTCAAAGCCTCACACACTTGGAGGAATCCACTCAATGGAGATGGGCTTGTGTGCATACATGTAGTTTTATAGGGTCAGTTTCTAAGTTTGTTTCCCATCTTTTATGTCTGCTGCCCTCAGCCCGTGTCTTTTGCCTCCATGGTTGTCAAGTACAGTAGACAGGAAGGTTCCACATGCTCTGTGGTGGTCAGGGGCAAGGGAATATGGAGCCACCATTCCCCTCCAACATCCAGAAACCAGAGCCAGTGTTTCCTGTTATCCAGCAACTGATAATGCATTAAAGGCGAAGGCAGGCAACAATTTTTCAAAGAGCTTTTAAATTGTACATTGGACACATTCATTATAACTTTAATATAACAATTGTTATTAAAAGCAGCAACTCAAACCATAAATCTTTTAAGAAGGTGCACAGGATAATTATAAGATCAGTTGGCATAATGCAGCTCTTATCTCGTATGAATGAAATGCTGAGGTGGGGAGTCAGGGTGGCCTGGCTGACTCCCCAAGTGGGAAGGACACCCCCTTCTTCAAGCCAAAAGTCTGTAGCCCAAGGAGGGAAGGTGCAGATGCATTGAAACAGACCTTGCTCATCCTGTGCTTTTTCAGAAGCCTGGAAAGCAGGCCTGGGAAGTTGCTATGCTTTCTGAAGGCAGATAGAAAGCCACAGATTGGATCCCAGGTCCCATGCCCCCGCAGGGCTAGGGGCTGGCTGGTCTTTCAGCCCCTTGTCCACTTGTCCCCATTCAGGGACCTTGGTGGCAGTAGCTGTGGGGCTGACGAGGGGGAGCTGGTTGCCCAACCCCAGCTCATCCCTGTCTGGGCCATGCCAGGGAAGCAGAGGGAGGTGCTAGACTGCACAGGAGACAAGGTCCCATCTGAAAGGCACTGAAGGAGCTGAGGTTTGAGGCAGGGGGACACTGAGCTATCTCAGGGATCCCCCAAGGTAGGGAGGGGATCAGGCCTAGTAACGGAAAATCCAGCTCAAGCCTGCTGCTATCAGCACTCCTCCCATTGCTCCATCTACCTTCGCCTTCCAGCTGGCAGCTTGCAAGCCCCAGCCAAGCTGGAAGCCACAGCAGCAGTTGGCAAAGCTGGTCCCTATCTGGTGTTCCCCACCCCCACCATTCAAGGCACTTTCCATTCTCCTATCAAGTGAGTCAGTTTCTAACATATCTGGAAGCAGCAAAAACTCGAGGTCCCCTCCTCCCTTCCCATTTTTGGTTTTCCTCCATCTGGGACCAAGTTTGTGTGTCAGCCCTAAGATTTTCAATATTCCTACTGACAAAGGGTTCCCAACCTATCCCACCCAAAAGTGATTGTCAGTTTTAGGATAAGGCAGGGGATATGGAAGAGGTTATGCAAACCCTGTATTTCTCTCTGAGGCCAGAGCTGATTGGGAGGCTGAAAGAAGGGGCCAGGAACTGGTCTTTCTTCACATTTAGTTGTAGCACATAGCTATTGGAAGAGGGCTAAGGACAGGAGCCAGGCTGGCACTGGAGGGCAGGTTGTGTGTGTGTACATGCAGATGTGTGTCTGGATGATGAAAGCTCATGTGGATGTAGCTTCCGTGTGAGTGAATGAGTGTGTGTGGTAGGTCGGGGGGTGGGGGGGGCGTGACAGGAAACAGTCTGGGGTTGTAGATGACATGGCTCCTTTCCTTCCTCTTTCCCTTCCCTGCCAAGTGGCTCAGGTTTTCAGTCCAGCAACAAGGGCAGACCTAGCTCCAGGGCAACTAAGAAGGGTGGGTCACGGGGAGGAAAACTGACCTCAGAAATGGATACCTGTAGCCTTCAGTTGAGCCTTAATCAGTGGCCCCCAGGGCTGGTGCCTTCTGGGACAAAGACCTTTTCACTCCTCACATCCCTAGTGTCCCAAGGTCTTTGCCACACCCGCTCTCTCAGGAACATTCTCCCATCCCCACCACCTCTTCCCAGGGATGGGGGAAATGGGAGAGAAAAGCTGAAAGGCATCTTCTCACCCACATTCACCTAGTCTCATTAAGTGCTGTCCCATGTGAAGGGCACCCAAAGGAAGAAGAGATGTGCATGAGTAGGGTGTGTAAGCACATACTACATACCCCCGGGGGTAAGAGGTGAAGATTGTGGAGGACTGGGGATAAAAAGATTCAGGCCTCAGGAGTTAGTCACAGAGCCATGGGAGTGTGGATTCAGAGGTACAGAAACAGGAGTCTGAGGGGCTACAGTCAAGATGCGGTGACACTGAGAAGTAGACAGCGGGACCTCAGAGCCTGAAGAGGTCCGAGAGCAAAATGAGCATAGCAGAGAGGCAAAGGCCTGGGCCCAGCAGAGCCTCTAAGCTGTGGGCAGGCCAGGAGGCCAGGCCATTAGTCAGGGACTCGCAGCTCAGGCCTGCTTTCCCCTTCACTGCAGCCTGGAGAGATAGGGAGGCTGCAGCTTCCGCTGTCTCTCCTCTGGTCCCCCAGACTCCTGAAAATCCTGGAGGGCTGTTCAGTAAGGGGTGGTCCCTTCCCACTCCACTAAGTACTGCACCTTGCCCTCTGGTGTGACCCTCCGAGCCAGCACCTGGTATTTCTCCCCACAGGCCAACCGCCCCGCTGCACCAAAGTAATTGGTGATAGATGACTTGAGGTGGGATAAGGATGAGTCATCTTCGCTGATGCTCTCGAACGTGTGGCTGTCGATGCCTTCATCTGGCCGGTCAGGGCCTGAAGCCCCCTCTGCACTGTCGTCTGAGGGGCAGTGCCCACCCAGCTCGGCTGCCCGCCTCTTTGCCTGCAGTGGCATGTATACTTTGGCTGCCAGCTTCCTCTTGCGGCTGCCCACTGTCCGTCTGTACCAAGAGCGGGGAGAGGAAGATGGTGGAAATGAAGTGGGATGATCATAACACCAACTTCTCCCTAAGCACGACTGTGGGTACCAGGTCCCGGGCTTGGGTCACCTCACTAGGTGTGTATGATAGCTCTGGGAGGAGGGAGACAGGCTAACAGGAGAAACCAGCTCGAAAGTGGAAGGGCCTCAGGTATCATTAAAGAGGCCTTCAAGTCAATAAGAAACTCCTATGTGTGCCTTGCAGCCTCGCCTCTCCCTTTACTCTTCAGGGATTTCTGTCTCTACTTCTCTCAAGACCCCAGCTAAATGGCTTCCTGAGAGACACTAGACTCAGACAGCCCAGAATCAAGGTCAAGGAGCTCTGCAGTCAGAGACCTAGACATGCAAAATCAGGACAAGGTCCAAGACAGGTCAAGAGCCCCAGAAATAAAAGAACCACTGGCCAGACATCCTGAAAAATGGAACCTCCCAACAAGGGATGTCACACAACCCTGTGCAGCATTCTTAAAGGGAAGAAACTGCAGTATCCTGGATGCCCCAGTGGGTCCAAGAGCCAGGCTCACATAGTCACAGAAGGCCTGACGCCTAGGCCGAGACCCAGGTACACAGAAGAACCAGAGTGTGGCTGAAGTAGGAGGTGGAGAGGTTGCACAACCTCCAGGCCAGGACCCTGGGAAGCTTACCTGGAGTCATAGGAGAGGCTGGTGGAGGCGGAGCCAGAAGTGCTGGCAGCATATGTGGAGTCCACATCTGAGAAGAAGGTCTGGCCTGAGCTGGCACTGCGAGAGAGAGGAGAATGTAGGCCTATCCTTTACCCAGCCCAGCAAAGTCCTGGCCCTCAGGACCCCCACAGGCCTCCCCAGCCATCTCTCTGCCCCTCTTGCCATGTATCCTTCGTCTCAGGGAAGTTCTGTCTTCCCACTCCTGAGCATCTTCTCACCATCCCATCTGCAGGTGCCTCCTCCCTGCCTGTCCAGTTTGCATCTAGCCTTCAAAGTCCAAGGAGACAAAGCTTTCCTTGAACACTGTGACAATAGTCAAAGATGATGAGAAGCACCGTCCCAACACTCAGGCAGTACTACTCAGATCAAAGTCCTTTCATTTGCAGTGTCTTGTTTAGGCCTCACAAAAGCCATGTGGAAACAAGTGCAGAGGGATTGAAGAATGAAGCTAACTAAGGTCACAGCTAGTAACTGGTAAGCAGGGCAGGGGCTCAGATCTGACTCTCCAGCCCCCATCTCCTCCATGCCTTCAGCAAAGCACTGGTGACCTTTAACTTGGGGAATGAAATAGCTGCTCCATTCCCTCCCCTTGAGTATTCACAGTGCCCAGCGGAGATGATGTCAGTACATTATCGTGGCACAATGTGGTCAGCCCAGGGTGCTAGGAAGATACATACAAATACATCCAGAATAACCTTAGAAAGGTTATCAAAGGCTTCCTGGAAGAAGCAGCATGTTGAGGAGTTTTCACATAGGTGGGGTGTCCCAAGGGAGGACAAGGATATTCCAGGCAGGGAAATACAACAAGAGCAAGGAGATGGAAACGTCAAAACAACACAGAGCACAGGAGTAACCCCTGAAATTTTGGTGTAAGGTAAGGAAAGGCAGGAAAGGAAATCAAAGAGCTTGGGAGGGCACCAGAGGGGTTGTCCCACCGGAGCCCTGGGCACACTTCCACGAGAGGCAGCCCCATACACTGCGGACCACACTCACTCAGGATTCTAGAATGACCCTCAGGGAGCTCCTACTTCCTCAGAAGTTTCTCTGCTGCACCACCCCTCTTCGGGAATCTATTGAAGGAATGGTGGTAGTCTCTTCACTGGGCTCCAACTCATTCTCAGAGCAGACCTTTCCTCTTAAGTCCTGTATCATTACCTTTTTAAACTCTGAATTTCATCCAGTGTGAAGTCAAATATGCTGGCCAGGTGGTGGTTGGTGCTCCAGGCCGAAGTGAAGTCACTCTGTGCACAGAGGGCAGAGGGGGGAGGTTCAGGCAGGGAGCATCCAACCCACCTCCCACGAGCACCCCTTCTCCCCAGCTGAAGGCCACACAGCTTGCCTGCTGGTCCTGCCAGGACTTCTGAGGGCTAGACCCTCCCTAGAATAAGGAAACCAGTCACCTCCTCCTCACTCTAAGTCTTGAGCAGGGAGCCAAGAGACCCTGCTTCTATTCCTGGCTGTTTTCTAGCAACTCTGCCAATTACCTCTCTGGCCCTCACATTCCTCAGCCATAAGTAGGAGCACAGCCCCTGCCTTGCTTCACTCTTAGAGGTGGCAGGAAACACAAATTAAATAATGGTTGAAGTGTCTTGTAAAGCGTTGGGTGGATTGTAAGTTTTTTGATTTTATTCTCTAGGGGAAATAGGGTCAATAAAGATGGAGGTAAAGAGTGAGTCTTCTCAGGCCCTGGGTTCCAGCCTTGATGTGTGACCTCTGGAAGTCCCTGCCTCTCCTTGGCACTTAGTTTCCCCATCTGGACAGTAGGATCAAGGACATTCTCTGCCTTTGTCCACCCCTTTGGGTTCTTAGAGTAACTTGGGAAGGTGCAGGAGTCATGGCTTTCCTTTCCTTTGCTGCTAGTACTAGGAGCTAGGTTCTCCTTTAATGTTGGTGGGAGAATCCCTGGGGCTGGGAGATTTATTGCTCCAAAGAGAGATCTCTACTAAGTGTTGATCCTGCTGGGTGAAGGTGGAAAGAAAGAAAACAGGAAACTAACACTGGGAATAGCATCTTCCAGCAAAAACTTTGATCTTTTTCTTCTATAAACTCGCCTTTTCTGCTGCTGGGATTCATGAGGCAACAAACTGTGGAAATAGAAACAGGAGGGGGGGCTTGGTCAGAGCCTGTTGATGGGGACAGGAATTACTTGGGGGGGGGTCACATCTGGGAGGGGATGGGCTCTGGCAACCCCAGCACCTTCACAAGGAGAGTTGGGGGGTGTCTCCTCGGTCAGCAGGTGTGGAGTAGGGCTTGGGGTCAGAAAGGAAGATGTCTCCCCAGGCACACGTATCCAGATGCCCTGCCAACACCCCCCCCCGTCCCAGGATGAGAGTGCCTGGCTCAGTCAGAAGAGCAACGAGGACCCTTTACACGTTCTGATTTTCCCTTAATCTCTCCTCCCCCTAGTCTAGCAAGATGATGCCATTGTGTGGCTTTATCGCTGAAGGAGGTAATGAGGGGATGGTGGTGGGGATCTAAGTTCAAGTCCTGGCTGTGCCACAATCTAGCCTCAGGACCAGAACCAGCTGGACATGGACCTTCCTACTTCCTTGGATGCCGCTATACCCTCACAGCCCATCCAGCGGAGCTGGGAACTAGGAACCCAGAAACCAAGTTCAGTGGAGGCCCTTGCTCCTGGGTCCCTGGGCACTGACCCTGACTTGCTCTTCCCTCTCTTGCGCAGCTCAGAGGAGGCACCATTCTCACTGGGTACCAGCCGCTTGTCAGGCAGCAGCTTCCCGGGGGGGTTGGGAGGGACGCGGATGCGCAGGCGGAAGATGCATTTCTTCTTCTTGATCTCTTTGCCACAGAGGAACCTGGGTGGGGAGGCAAGGGAGACAGCAAGTCCTGGAGTCTGTCAGTGCAGCCTCTTGGTGAGTGAGACTAATGAAACCATCCTCTTTGGCTCCCTGGACCCAAAGTGAAAATCCAGAATGGCCTCCTAAGACCCATTTCCTCAAGGTTTCAGGTGGGAACTGGGACTGGGGCTGGCAGCTCCCTCCGCCCTCCCTCCTACACACGTGGTTCTTGCTGCACCTCTCCCTCCTCCAGCAGCAGAACTCCCTTCTGGTCTACATAATTCTGGTCTCCCCAGGAAGACAAAAAGCCCTCCTGGGGCCTTAGCTTTCTGACCCTGGCTGAGCTCCCCTGGGAGCAGTGACTCACTGCCCACTGGAAAGGCAGTTGGCTCATGCATTCAAGAAAAAGGCTATATCTGGGCCTCAAACCATGGAAAAGAAGAAGGAGCGCTTAATTCGGGCCAAGGGAGTCTAGGAATGTTTCACAGAAACAAGGGCCTCATCTTACTTATTCATCCCCTCCACTGGTTCTCCAAACCCAGCACTTGGCTTGACAATATTCAATATATGTTGATGGAATGACTGAATAAAAGAAGCTGAAAAGCATCCAAGGCAGAGGGATGAGTATGATCAAAAGTGCACAGATAGGAAAAAAAGAGGCTCGGTATGGATGGTACCCAGAATGAACAAAGCCACAGGGCACTGGCATCACAAAGGACCTTTAATGCCAGGAGGCAGGGAAGCCTTTGTGGTGGTAGTGAGAGCTGTAGGGAGTCAGCTGAGTGTTCTGAGAACTCAGAAGTGACAGGGTGGGAGACAAGGGAAGAGGCGTGAGCCCATCTAGAAACAAAAAATCAATTCCTCAGTGCCCAGGCCAGGATAAAAAAAAAATGGCTAGAGCAGGAAGGGTCCCAGTATGGAGTCGGTATCCAAATGTGCCAGGCTGCGGGGTGGTCAGGGGAGGAGGCTCTGGAAGAGATGTATGGTGCCCACCCCCAACCTGACACCTTGAGAAGGATCTATATCATCAAAAAGGAAGGGGGGGCATGCAGGGAGGGAACAGAGCGTGGACAAAGGCTCTGAGACAGGAAGTACCCTCAGACTGAAATTTCACCCTCCCTGCACGCACCGGCTTTTGTAACTGTTGAGAGCGTTGAGCAGATGAGGTCCTCGGTCCATCACAGGGGTGCTGGTGAGCTAAGGGAAAGCAGGCTAGGAGGTCAGCCAGATTCAGGCACATGGCATCGAGGGCAGCCCCACCCCCATCCCCTCTATCTCTCAATTACTACTGAGTCTTGCAGGTGACTGACATTTCTATGGCCTATCACAAGTCCTTGCACATCTCAACTTGTTTCTCTAAGTGCAAAGGAAACAGTTACTCTCATCTTAAATGTGTAAAATTCACTGCTGTTGAGTCAAAACTGACTCATAGCTGACCCTCCGGTGAGTTTTTCGAGGCTGGAGATGGCACATCTTTCCCTCATAGGAGATGGCACATGCGACCTGTAAGAGAGTCTCCACCTCTGGGTTAGTAGTGCAATTCCCTGTGGATTAGGCCACCGGAGCTCCCTGCACTTAAATGTATGTTGTCGGTGTGTGCCTGCAAGTGGGTTTTCAAAGGCAGGAAGTCGCACAGGAGAACTATCCTTGTCCCCAGGAGCAGCTGGTGGATTTGAATCACATGCCTTTCGCTCAGCAGTGCAATTTCTTTCTGTTAGGCCACCAGAGCTCCTTGTCTTAAATGTATGTTGTTGTTGTGTGCTGTTGAGTCAGAACTGACCCAAAGCTGATGCTCCAGACGGTTTCCAGAGCCAGTTAATTACACAGGCGGACTGTCGATCCTTCTCTCACCACGCAGCTGGTGAATTTGAACCAAGTGCCTTTGGAATTGCAGAGCAGCTTCTTACCACTAGGCTATCAGAGCTCCCCATCCTAAGTGTATAGGAACTTTAGTTAAAAGTGTCAATTCCTTTGACCTTAGGGGGTAAGGAATTGTGCCATCACCAAAAGGCAGATGGTTCAAATCCACCAGCTGCTCTGTAGGGGAAAGAGAAGCAATCTCCTCCTCCCATGTAATTTACAGTCTCTGAAAACCTACTGAAGGGTCAGCTATGAGTCAGTTCCAACTCGACAGTACTGGATAATATATGCCTTTCACTACTACTCCATGGAAACTACCATCTAGACATATTGTGAAATGTGAATAAAGCTTTGTGTACAATGATGCTCACTGCAGCACTGTTTCCAACAGGGGACAAATGAGAGATGAGTGATCGGAATGTTTCCCAGGAAGGAAATAAACTGGTGGAAAGCAATGCAACCACATAAAATGTTATGAAAACACTAATAATATGGGAAAGTATGATATAAAATGAAGATAAATATTTAAAGTCCTACCTCCTGTGGCAAAATGGTAAAGGACTATATTGCCAACACAAAGGTAAATGTTTCAAATCCACCATTTGCTCCTTGAGAGAGAGGGGCAATGCCCTCCATGCAAATTACTGCCTCTGAAAACCTACTGAGGGTCAGCTATGGGTTAGTTCTGATTCAACTGCACACAATAACAAGATACAGTATAATCTAAAACGTATAAAAGGCAACAATGTGCACTGAAGAGAGGCTGGACAGAAATTATCTATACATTAATAGTAGTTGTGAAGGAATGGTTGTTTTTCTCTTCTTTGTCTCCCTACACTTTTTGGTGCTTTACAATTTTTCTCTTAGAAACATACATCATATTTTTATGAATTATTCACTCCCTTATCACTATCACGTCAGAACTGAGCCATAACTGACCCCTCAGCAGCAGGTTTTCAGAAGCTATAAACTGCACAAGAGACTGCCCATTGCCTCCCATGGAGCTGCTGGTGGACTTCAACCGCAGCGCACTCCCTATGATGACACCTTCTGAATTCCCTAATATATTAGCAGACAGTCAATATTACATGAAAATCCTTTGCAAAATATAAAGATTACTTTTTCCTTTTTAGTTCTGTGATAAGAAGCTGTGCTGCAATTCCAAGGCACACAGTTCAAATCTACCAGTTGCTTCATAGGAGAAGGAAGTGCAATCTCCATATACGATCTACTGCCTCTGAAGACCCACTGGAGGGTCAGTTATGAGTTGGTTTCTACTCAACGCCACACAATAGCAACAACACTCAAAGAAGGATGTTGAAGCCTTCAGCATAGAGGATATGGTGGAATGAATTCTAACAAATTTCCCTCATTAAGGAAGAGGGGAGATGACCTGACCTCAGCATGGTGAGGTCCTGGCTCTAGCTCTTGCTGAGTCCCCAAACCATCACTGTGACAGGCAAGTTTTCCATTTCTGAGATCCTTAAAACCTGGTTTACCACGTCACTCCTTGGATTTGTGGCTCCCAGGCTTCTGGCAGCCTAGCGGTAAGAAACTGCACTGTGATTCCAAGGCACACAGGTGGAACCTGCTAGAATGATGTGCAATTTTCTCCCTTATGATTTAATTACCTCTGAAAACCCATTAGAGGGTCAGCTATAAATAGATTCCACTTGATGGCACACAACAGGCTTCTGGTCACCTCAGGCACATCTGCTATTCAGCGTATGACCAGTAGGTGGCGGGCCCACTCCAGTTAGCCAGGTAATGCAAGGTAGGTCAAATACTTCGTGGCTCCAGCCAGGCTCTGACCAGGTCTCAGTGTATTCTCTGCAGCTGGGTTGATAGGAGCCTATTCTGCCTACTGTCAAAATCTGGGCTCAAGAAGCCCCTTCCTGGGCATTGAGTTCAAAGGTATGGATACAGCAGCAAGAGGGCAAGGGCTGCCTGTCCCTGGGTCTCTGTCTCCAGCCTGTAGGCAGTAGGAGCTCAGAGAGCCAGATGTATGATTCTGGGAACCCCTATTCTATCGAGCTCAACTGCCTCACCTGTGCCACTCTGATGCCTCATGGCCCTGCATACCTTGCCAAGCTGCAGGAGCTCCCAGTGGTGGTTGACAAAGGCCAGAATCTCTTCGAAGTCAAAGTACTTCTTCTTGCTTTGCACTCCCAGGTTGTAGAGGGCAAGATGAACCACATCCACCCTGGCAGGAAGGTGAGGATGTAGCAAGTGAGACAGCAGCCTGACCTGTAGGGATGAGCCCTGGATCCCAGCTCATGGGCAGGGCTAGGCTGGGACTAGGAGGCTGGAATGGAATAGATCTCAGAGGAGAGGGGCTGGGAGGGAGCAAGGGAGGATTTTAGCCAAGCCCCACCATCTCACCATCGCAGGGGCAGCCTCTCAATGTACTCTGGGCCTTGGTTACACACGGAACAGAAGAACAGGTAGAACCTGCAGGTGTGTGGAGAGGGGCCCTGTGGTGGGAGGGCCTCTGACCCCACCCTACTCCAGCCTTTTCACCCCTCACGCCCTGCTTGCCTTCCCATACTCTGCAATCTCACTCTTGGGACTGGTGACCCTGGAGAAATGCAGGCAGGGGGATAAGAAAGGAGCAAGATAGAAATAAAGGAATACTCCCCATTTCCAAATCCCTCCCCCATACATCATCCACCAGGGCTGTGGTCAAGTTCAGGGTGAGTGAGCTGAACTGGGCTGGCCTGCAGAGGTCACCCTTCCCCACTGTGAGACACACACACACACACACACACACACACACACACACACTTGCAAACACAATATGAAATACCACTTAGATGTCCCACATAATGTCAGAATGGCTTAGCCCCCTTGGTTAGAAGCCCAAATGATCCATTTGTCCACTTGCTTTGACAACAATCCTGGGAGGTGGGGGGTTGAAGCAGTCCAGTGTCACTGTTCCCTTCTAACCCTCTAACCAGACACTGGGATTTAGGGAGAGGGGAGACTTGTCTAGGGCCTTCTACAACTCAGTGACGAGTGGAGAACTAACCTGCCTCTTATTCTGCAGCCTGAAACACTGCCCATCTGAGGCCTCCCCCACCCTGCACTGCCTCCCATTGATGTGCACACCAGCAAAGACACCGATCTGGGAGGCAATCTGAAAAGGTGGCTGCTGCCACCCCCCCTGACCCAGGTTCACCCTCTAAGGTAGTCCTCACTTGGATTAGTACCAATACCTACCGATCTCCAAACATCATGGGCTCATTGAGGCACTGGGTGCAGGCCTCATGGAACCACTGTCTGCACCGATAACACTGCAGCATCCGCAAGTACCACCTAGAGAGACAAAAGCTAGTTGGCAGGGCCTGAGTCTCAGCCACCTTTCCAGCATGACTGTGTCCTCCACTGGGGAAAGCAGGGGTGATCTAGCCTGCATTTATCTTGTACTCAGGCTGCGTCTGGGGAGGTGATGAGAGTGGGCTGATGCTCCTATCTGATTTGAGTTCACTCTCTGGTAAAAGACTGGCCACCGTGTCTTTATTACAGATGAGTCAGCAGTCAAATGCCATGCTCAAAGAGTCACTCGGAAAGTAAGGGCGGTTAGTGATTAAAATTCTTGTCTAACTTCAAAGCCCATGCATGTTCTTTCACCAGTGTGCCATGTTGAGCTCCCATCTCTGAACTGAACCCCACACACTTCCCCCAACCTCAATGACAGAAAAGGCTTGCTCAGGCCTTTTTTGTCATAGAAACCATACCTTTTTTTTCTGACGAGGTTCTTGGTACTGTGCCCACTCAGCCACAATTCATTAAACATTAATGAAGAATCAAAAGCTAAGTCCTTAATGATAGTCAATACTTTGCTCACATATTGTCGGTGTGCTCATCTGACACCTGCATCAGACTCGTCTAGGGTGAGGATTAGCAGCGGAACAAGCCGCTATGACATCAGGGCTCCTGGTTTTACCGTCCTCACTGCTTGCCAGCAGTACATGCTTTGGACTCTGCCACCAGAGCTCCCTAGACCTAGATTTGTTTGGGGTTCTTTTTGTTTGTTTTTTATGAGTCCCTAGGAGATGCCTTTTTAGACAGTCATCTTTAATTTTCCCATTAAGCTTTTCAAACCACGACTTTATTGTTGTCTAAGTTTGCATAGATATTTCCCCATCTGTTATTCCCTAGGTCTCCCAACAGCCACAGAGGATTAATGGGCTCAAGCATGTGTCCTTTAAGAGAGATGCTTTGCCCAGCTGGAGATGGGTTACAAGCAGTCTCATTACCAGGGCTTGAGGCTGAGAGTCAGAGAACTAAGTTCCCAAAGGCTTAGTTTTGTGAGGGGAGAGACCCCAATCTCTTGACTTCTGTGGCTCCTCTCATACTTCCTGGTGTAGACTCAATTGCCTGTGGTTTATCTGTCTCCATAGGGAGCTCTGGTGGCCAAGTCTGTAGAGGTAAAAGCCACGCTTCTCTGGTGGTTTGAATCTAACAGCTGACGTGCGGGCATCTTCCACTTATGTAATTTGCTGTCTTGGAAACCCGAAGGAGGGTCAGCTATGAGTCAGAACTGAATCAACCGCAATGAGTTTGAGTTTTGCTTTTGGAGTCGCTTTCTCCATGGAAGCCGAAGCGAACAAAGAATTAAACTCACCACACTACCCCAAGCCACAGCAAGAACCCCTTTCACAGTATCCCCTGAGGATGGCATCCCCAGCTCCTGCTTCCACATCTCTAGGATAAAGTATCCTAGTATCTCCCCAGAAATCTTGTTTTACTGGCTCTGAAATGAAAAGGTTTCTATTCCATCCATCAGTGCCACCACCACTAACAGTTCATAGCTATTAAGTGCTTACCATGTGCCAAGCACTGTAAGCCTTTGTTGTTAAGTGCCGCCAAGTCCCTTGCGACTGACTCATAGCGACACTATCTATGGACAATTCTGAACCCTATCCTGTGCCAGCCTCATCATCTCTGACACATGCACCCCCACTACCGCAGTCACTGAGCCAATCTGTCTCATCCAGGGTTTTCCCCTCCTACACTGTCCCTCCATCCTCCCAAGCAAGATATCCCTATCCAAGTACTGGTCCTTCCTTAAAACATGCCCATGGTATGTCAGATGGAGCTTCAGAATCCTTCCCTCAAAGGATTTCAGCCTGATTTCACCCTCTCCATGACAAACCTGCTTGTTCTCCTAGCAGTCCACGGTATATTCAATACACTTCTCCAGCCCCACAGCTCAAAGACATCAATTCTCCTTCTATAATCCCTAGTCATTCATTGTCCAGCTTTCTGATGCATAGCAAGTAGTTGTGAAGACCATAGCCTGGCTGAGGGGCACCTTAGTCTCCAGACTGACACCACTGCTCTTCAGTACTCTGGAGAGGTCTTGGACAGCAGATTTTCCCAATGCAATTTGTCTTTTAATTTTCTGGCTGTTAGTACCAAGAGTGTTGATTGCGGAGCCAAGCAAATGGAAACTGTTAACAACCTCAGTAAGCCTTTATAGGAATTTTCTAATTCCTGCTCAAAACCACCATATGAATACTTTGTTGTTCTTTAATGCTGCATAGTATGTATAGGAATAATTGAAGGAGAGTGAATGAGTTGTTGTTGTTGTTGTTGTTATGTGCCTTCGAGTCGCCTGCGACTCATAGCGACCCTATGTACAACAGCCCTAAACTCCGCTCTGTCCTGTGCCAATCGCACTGTCTCTGACACTCCCATCCCAATTATCCCAGTCACTGAATCAATCCACCTCATAGAGGGCCTTCCTCTCCTGCGCTGTCCCTCCACCCTCCCAAGCATGATGTCCCTCTCTAAGGACCGGTCTCTCCTCACAACATGTCCAAAGTATGTTAGACAGAGCCTCAGAATCCTTGCCTCCAAGGAGCCACCCGGTTTAACCCTTTCCAGGACGAATCTCTTTGTTTTCCTAGCAGTCCATGGTATTCTCAATACTCTTCTCCAGCACCACAGCTCAAAGGCATCAATTCTCCTTTTATCGTCCTTGGTCATTGTCCAACTCTCTGATGCATAACAGGTGATTGCGAAGACCATGAGAGTACAATTAATTTTAAAATTTAAAACAAACCAGACAACCTCAACAACAAAAAAACACCATATACCAGGAAACCATTGGGGATGCTGGAGCTCTGAGACTGGATGAGTTCAAGGTTGGGCAGGTGGTGAGTCAGAATTCAGGCATCATGAGAGGATCTGGGCTCTAAACCAAACTTCAATACTTCTTTCTCATGGGGTGACCCCAAGGGAACACACCTCTGGACGCCAACACCAGAACCCCACACCGTATGTTCCGCCCACATCCTCTCAGGCCCCACCCCCGAAGCCCCCTTGCGGGACCACAGACCACATGCAAACTTGGCCCCGCCCCTCCAGACTTGCCCCAACCTGTTCCCACCCGTCGCCCTGGCCTTACTCTCCAGGCCCGCCGCAGTAGCAGTAGCATTGCTGCTGGTTAGTTCTGTGGGGCGAGTCCCACTCCAGCTCCTCGGGCTGGTAAGATAGCACCATCTTCACGGCCTGCAGCGTCCTGGCGATGGCCCCCTTCTTCAGCGCGCCGCCTTTCTGAGGGAGATGGGGGCGCGTGTCACCTGCGGGGTCTCAGCTAAGCCTCATACACGCTAGTCAGGGCCTGGAGGGACTAACTGATATTCCCATACAGCTGAGAAATGTAAGAAACTTCCTCACCCATCCCAGACCTATCGTTCTATCACAATAGGATCTCCATTAATAGTGAACAGAACTAGGTTATAGTGAAAGCAACAATACTTCCACTGTGAAGTAGGTATAAGCACTTAGAGACTTTTTCTTTTAATAATAAAGTGCTCTGGTGGCCTAGTGGTAAGAACCTGCACTGCAATCCCCAAGACACCTGGTTCAAATCCACCTGCTGCTCTCAGGAAGAAGGATGGGCAATCTCCTCCTCTGAGATTAACTGTCTCTGAAAACCGGATGAAGGGTTGCCTATGAGTCACTTTTGACTCAACAGCACACAACATTTATTAGAGGAGTTCCTGGGTAGTGCAACTGGGCAACATGCATAGCTGGTACTGAGTCGACCAAAGAGGTGCCTTGGCCTTCAACTTCTCAAATAGCAGCCACTGAAAACCCTCAACAGCAACAGTTCCCCCGCTTCTACTCTAGCACACAGACCTTCCCCATGAGTTAAATCGACAGGAAGGTTGCTATTTATCGGAAGTCGTCTATATATGACACCAAACTCTTGCCCGCATTACAGCTGAGGGAACAGGCTCAAGGGTACACCGATCTGGCCCTTCTACTTTTAAGAGCTCAGTCTCTGTGGTTCTGAGCCCAAAGCATCTTTAGGCTTCCTGATGGGAAGAGGGGGTAGAACAGAGGCTGGAAGGATGGAGGGCTCACCCGCACAGCCAGTGCGAAGATGCAGCGTCGGCAGAACCAGGGTGTGAGCAGGGGCTGGCCAGCGCTGCCTGCTATGGGGATATGGCACTGCTGGTGGTAACCTGCCGCAGAGAAGGAGTGGTGGTGAGTGCTCACAAAGAAGCAGCAGCTCAAGGTCATTCAGCCCAAGGTGGCAGGGCTGGGGAGAGCCCTGGCACATGCTAGAAACTCTACCTGCCAGCTGTTGGGAGAATGGCTGGTGAGGCCCACCAAAGTGGATAAGCAAGTGTCCAGGCAGGGGATTCAAAACAAAACAAAACAAAACAAAACAACACAACACATGTGCCTTAGTAGAGGAGGCACCAAGGCCTGGCTCTGGGCTTCAGCCCTAGTCTCCCTTCCATGTTCATCCAGGAAGACTCCAATTTTTTTAATTTCCAGAGGCCCCTGCTTTCCCTAAGGGCAATTTCCCTGGATCCTTACTCACAGAGACTGAACCCCCATTATCCTGGAGAGGCAACATAAATAAGCAACCAACTAAGGCCTTCAGAATCTGGAGCAGTGCCCAGGAGGCACCAGTTAGGGGCCCAAGATCAGGGCCTTCTCAGTGTCCTGCTCATTCCACTTACCCAGGCCACACTTGCCACAGATGAGGATCTCATTCGAAGGCCCCGATGTCTTTCCTAGACAGATGTTGCACTTGGGCTCCTCACCTGGAACACCAGCTGTAAGAGAGAAGCCTCTAAATTCAGATTTGCCTCAGTGGTCATTTACAGTTCTGATTTCACAATTCAGGTGATGATCTTCTGCCACGTGCCACCTAGTCAAATCTCTCTGACCACAACTGGAGAAGAGTATTACCATTATTACCTCATTATGAAGATTGGGAAATAGGCTCAGAGAGATTAAATCCCCTCTAGTTAGCAAATGTGAGCATGTCAGAGGATGGTGCAAGACAGGGCAAGGTTCATAGTTGTTCTTGGGGTTGCTATGAGTTGTAGTTGAGAGCACCTAACCACAGCTAGTAAGTAGGTGAGCTGGGATGCAAATCCATGCCTGCTGACATAAAATTATTTGTTCTTTTACCAAATTATGCTGCCTCTCCTGCCTAAATTGTTTTGTAAACAGGGAGCTTTTTAAAATGTGAAATATTTTATGTTTACAATGTGAAGATTAAAGTTTATACACAAGACAGGCATGGCTCAAAATTATGATGAATTTGATTCAAAACCATTTCAAATTTTCTCCCAGTGCATATAAATTATGCTTACATTAACTCTTTTAAAAAGTTGTGTTTATACTACACTGTAACTTACTACTAATTTGTTATTTTCATTTACTTTGGTTCAAGTGAATAAATACAAATTTATTATGTTAAAATTTTTTAAATGTGCAACATTATTATGAAAAAACCTAAAATATTGAGATATGATGTGATACATGATCATGAAGCTAATAAATACTGATAGAAAAATGACACCAATAGACTTATTGCTGAACACAGACATGCCAAGAACTTCAATATCTAAAACCAACAAGGTATGCCTGCAGTAGACAGAATATTATCATGAAACTCTGTGTTCTCATTAATAATTATGAACTTATAGCTAATGCTTTAGGTAGAATGTTAAGTGATCCAAGAGGTATCAAAAGAAGATGGAAGGAATATACTGAGTCATTGTATCAAAAGGAATTGGCAGATACAGAAGAATTTAATGAAATAACATTTGAGCAAGAGCCTATGGTGATGAAGGAAGAAGTTCAAGCTGCTTTGAAGGAAATAGCAAAAAATAAGGCCCCAGGAATAGATGGTATACCAACTGACATATTTCAGCTAACAGATGCTACCCTGGATGTGCTCACCAAGTTTTGTCAAGAAATCTGGAGAACAACCACTTGGCCAACTGACTGGAAGAGATCTATATTTGTTCCCATCCCAAAGAAGGGTGACCCAATTGAGTGTGGAAAATATTTCACATGCAAGCAAGATTCTACTGAAGATTATCCAAAAACGACTGGAACAGTACATCAGCAGAGAACGGCCAGAAGTCCAGGCTAGGTTTAGAAGGGGTCATGGTACTTGGGATATTGTAGCTGATGTCAGATGGATCTTAGCTGAAAGCAGAGAATACCAGAAGAATGTCTATCTGTGTTTCATTGATTATGCAAAGGCATTTAACTGTGTGGATCATAACAAATTGTGGCTGACTCTGAGAAGAATGGGAATCCCAGAACATTTAATTATGCTAATGCGAAACCTATACTTGGACCAAGAGGCAGTCATCAGAACAGAGCAGGGCAACACTGCATGGTTCAAAATTGGGAAGGGTGTATGCCAGGGATGTGTCCTATCTCCATACCTTTTCAACCTGTATGCAGAGCAGATTATCCGAGAGACTGGGCTCTGTGAGGAGAAGCGTGGCGTTAGGATTGGTGGAAGATCTATCAACAATCTGAGTTATGCAGATGACACAACCCTGCTCACTGAAACTGAGGAGGACCACATGCACTTACTGCAGAGGGTCAAGGACTGCAGCCTTCAGTATGGACTGAGGCTCAGTGTCAAGAAGACAAAGATTCTCACCACTGGACCAATCGGTAGCATCAGGATGGATGGTGAAGAGAACTGAGATTGTTCACAACTTCAGTTTGCTCGGATCCACGGTCAACACTCTTGGTACCAGCAGCCAGGAAATAAAAAAATGTATTGCGATGGGAAAGTCTGCTGTTAGGGACTTCTCTAAAGTACTCAAGAGCAACGGTGTCTCTCTGGAGACTAAGGTCCACCTGATACAGGACATGGTTTTTGCAATCACTTGTTATGCATCAGAGAGTTGGACAATGACTAGGGAGGATAGAAGTAGAATTGACACCTTTGAGCTGTGGTGCTGGAGAAAAGTATTGAATGTACCATGGACTGCCAAGAAAACAGATTCATTCTAGAGAGGGTTAAACCAGGCTACTCCTTGGAGGCAAGGATTCTGGGGCTTCGTCTGACATACTTTGGACATGTTGTAAGGATAGACAGGTCCTTGGAGAGGGACATCATGCTTGGTAGGGTAGAAGAACAGCGCAGGAGGGGAAGACCGTCTATGAGGTGGATTGATTCAGTGACTGGGGTAATCGGATGGGTATGTCAGAGGCAATGCGATTGGCACAGGATAGAGCAAGGTTTAGGGCTGTTGTACATAGGGTCACTATGAGTCGCAAACGACTCGATGGCATATAACAACAACAACAACATAGCTAATCTTGTCCTTAACTTATTGTCTCATTCCTATTAATCAAGTGCCAGATACCTAATGCTTTTCTCATAGAAAATCGATATATTTTTCCATATGGATCTCAAAATACCAGGGCTCTTTTAAAAAAACAACCACCCACACTTAGGACTTGTATCACATCTAAGATGTTAACAGTAATTTCTGGGTGTTTTTGTGGTTATTATTTTTTTTTAAATAATTTTATTTATTTAGGATACATAGCGAAACATATACAAATTCAACAACTTCTTTTCTTTTGTACCAGGATTGTCAGGCTAGAAACCATTCTGAGTGCTCATGGGTAGAATAGTGAGTGTAGAAATAGCCTCTTTCTCTGCCCCAATAAATTCAACAATTTCTACATATAAGTCAATACACTGATTATGGTCTTCAGGTTAAACCACCATGGTCATATTCCTTTACCATACTCTTTCTCCCCATTAACATGAAGTTTCTTTAAAGGAATTTTTTAAAGCTACCATTTGCTGCTTATTTATTGGTTACTATACAGATTAATCCTTTGTAAGAGCACAATGCTAAACACAGAATTTATTTACTTCTGTTATATTTGAAGAATACACTAGGGGATACTTATGGTTTAAAGATTATCTCAGGTCTATAAATAGTTTTAGGGTTCAGCCAGCTTCAATGACCCCAGAAACTTTAGATTCCATGAGTACTGAAATTCTGTTCTGTTCTGTGATGATAATTTCTTAATATCATAAAGTAATTTTGTCTGGTTCATGTTTCCAGTTATCACTTAAATATAAATGTCTTAATATTTTAATGGTTTGTTCTTTTGAATCAAGATCAACATAAAGTCTACACATAGTATTTGGCTATTTCCATAGGTTAAACATGGTGATATACATTCAGTTTCTGTCTAGGCTATTTTTGTTAGTGTTGAAGATTAAATATGAGGTTTGCATGGACAAATTAGAGAGATTCTGATGTGTTTTTCCCCTAGCAGACTGACAGTTTTAGGGGAACAGAAATGGTATTTCATCATCTCTGTATTTCTAGGGTTTCATATAGTCTGTGGCACAGACAAGTGCTTAAGATATGTTTGTGGGATAAATTGTCAGGCAGACAGCTTACCTTATTCCTGAATTTGACTCTAGGAAGGTGGTTCTCACAGAGGGTCTTAGTAAGACCTCACTGGCTTCATGAAGTGATGGATCATTTACTAAACTGAGCCCAGTCTTAAACTCTCATCTTGGAAGGTGCTAAAAAGTTCTGCTCATATCATAAGAAGCAGCCATTTGGCTACAGAAAAGAGCCGTTCTCCAGCTGAGCACCACAGCATCTCCACAGTACCTGGCACATAATGGGCCTACTACACAGTTTGGCTAAGGCTACCTGTCTTTGTCCTCCAGCTGATTTGATATGTTTTCAGAGAAGGAGAGAAATCCTTAGGATTTGGGATCTTTGTATAAGTTTGCAGTGAAAGAGGCTTGGAGAAGAAACCTTCTAAAAAGCTTTTGAACAGTTTTTCGGCACTGCAATCCCAAAGGCATGCAGTTTGAATCCACCAGCTGCTTTGCTGGAAAAGGATTGGGAATCTCCTCCTGCCTCTGAAAACCCGCTTGGAGGGTCAGCTATACGTTGGTTCTGACAATACACAACCCCACCCCATCATTACTATTAATGGTAGTAACAGCACTAAGATAAGTATTTTAAGATAAGTATATGGATTAGCTCATTTAATCCTCACAACTGCTGTGTGAAGCCAGCATTCATTCCTTAACTCTCTTTGAAAGATGAATAAACTGAGACTCAGACCAGTTCATTAACTTGCCAACAACACACAGCTAGTTAAGTGGCAGGGCTAGAATTCAGTCCGCAGTATATCTGACCCTAAAACCTGCCTCTTCTCTATACTACAGTGTAAACAGCAAACTGCGTCCTTCCCTCATGCCAAGTCTGATTCGTTGTATTTACTGTTAAGTGCAGTGGAACTGTTGGGTGTAGTAGAATAGAACTGGGTGTAGAATAGAACTGTCCCATAGCTTTTTCTAGGCTGAAATATTTATAGGAATAGATTTCCAGGTCTTTCTTATGCAGTACTGCTGGGCAGGTTCAAGCTGCTAACCTTTCCATCAGCAGCCAAACTCTTAACGGTTATGGTATCAGCCTCCCTGACTGATTGGTAGTAGTTGTTTTAAGTGCTGTATTGAAAACGCAAGTGTTATAATTGATTAATGATGTCTGCCACATTCATGAGAAAAGAGAAAGGTGGTGAGAATGCCTTTCCTTTTCCATCTTTGTAAGAGAATGTTAGTTTCCTAAGAACAGAATGCTATCTATTTCATTCTGTATCTCCACAGGGCTTTGAATATGGCAAATATCAGGGTTGTTAGTTGAATAAGGAGTGGTGAGGAATGATCTATACATAACTAGATGAAAACTTTCAGGAATCCTGGTGTCAAAGGGGCCGGTTCCAGGCCAGCTTTCCTTCAACCCTGAAAGCTGGTCCAATGCTATCTCAGGTGTGTCTGTTCCATCTGTGTTTTCCTCCATTCCCACAACTTTTGCCCCACCAACAAGGCTGCCTCTAGCAATCTTCTTCATATGATGCTAGTGGACACTGGCTCGCATATAGAGGTGATAATCCTTATTGCCTAGGCCCCCCTCCATTCCTAACCTCTAATGAAATAGAGCTTTGTATAGGAGGAGATCAAGTCCAGCAAGAAAGTGAACAAAGGCCTGAAAACCAGTCCCAGCACCTCCCCAAGCCACTTACCCATCTACCCATTTGTCCTGTTTCCTGTTTAAGACTGGAAGACAGCTATAGTGCCTTTCTACATAAATGTACAAGTGGTAATATGATCAATATCTACAGTGGGATTAAGGTGTTCACAGATAAGGCCAGAGGTTAAGAATAGGAGATGAAAGGAGAGAAAGGGGAAAATGGAGGCGAGGGAGGAGAGAGGACCTGAGGAGGGTGTGGACACCCCAAATCTTTGGAACACTCACCATGCTGTATGTCCTTCCACAGGACCCAGTATTTGGAATTATCTTCGAAAGTCACAAGGCAGCTTTGCTTAGAACTGCTGACCTGGGGCACAGGCAGGAAGGTGCAAAGTGAAAAAGTGCTGAGGAGAAGCCAACCTGGAACAGGAACTTCCCCAGAGAGCTGGATTAGACCCACTGCTGGTGTTCTAGAAGGCAGAGCTAGCGTAGGAGGGTAGCAGCTTCTGGGCGGCAGTATGCACCCTGTCCCTGGAAATGTACCAGCAGGAACAACGTGGTGGGAATGCCAAGGACAGAATAGGCCAGATGGTTATCGGTGCTCCTCTGTCCAAACGGATTATTTGCATAGGCTCTCAAAGCACTTTTTAAAAGAACTGACTTCATAATGTGGTAACTAAGGATGGTGCTTGCAAAGCAAGGCACTGTCTCTTTCCACCCTCAGCTTTCAAGTATGAGGGACAAGGTCAGGGTTTGAGAAGAAAGACGCTAAGCTGAGAAAAGGGACAAGGAAGAAACGTTTACCCTCTTGATCTTCCCAAGGTAATACAGCCCGTCTGTCCACCGGCACAGCACATACTGGCCCTCTGTCAGTTTGGACATCAGGTCTTTGAAGTTGTTTCTGGCCTTCTCCAGGGCCCCCTTGTTGGGGTGGTGGCTGGCGGCACCATAGGAGTCCCGAGTTCCTGGGTCCAGAGCGCGATTGTCCATCAGCTTCTACTGACACTGGGAGAGAAAGAGAACAGGGTTTTGACCCCTTGCTTAATGTTCCAGAAGGGCTAGCAGGGAAAGGAAGGAAGCAAACATATATGCAAATTGTGTCGTGTGCCAGACATGTTTATTAATTTACTGAGTCCTGATGTTAACATGGCAAGAGATTTCGTTATTTGCACTTTACAGATGGAGAAAAGGGTTTTTAAGGGGAAGTGGCCAGTGGTTAAAAGCGGAGACACGGTTCATAGTCAGGTTCTAGGCATTGCTCTCTTTCCACAAGAACATACCAGTAGCTGTTAAGTTGGTCCTAACTCATAGCAGGCTTATAAAACAGAGTACAACTGCTCCACAGCATTGTAAATTTTGCAGAAGCAGACTCCATATTTTTCTCAATAGTACAGTTGTAGGGTTTGAACTGCTGACCTTTTCATTAGCAATCAAATGAGTCAATCACTACTCTACCAAAGGGACACCCACTTATATCCCCATACCATGCAACTTCCTAAAAGAACATCGTTCACCTAATACATAGCAAAGGGACTTGAACTGCAGAGTCTGTCTGATGCTTTATCCTTTGAGCAAACAACTTCTCATTTGCTGGGTGGATTTGGCCTAGTGATAAGGACTTGTGCTTCCAACCCAAGGGCACTAGGTTCAAATCCACCAGCCGCTCTGTAGAAGAAAGATGGGCAAGCTCCCTCTCCTGTGATTTGCCTCTGAAAACACACTAGAGTGTCAGCCATGAGTCTACACTATATCCTACCCTGAGGTCTGATGAGGGAAAAGTCACCTAGAAAGGGAAACTCCTGGGTGGCTTGGGAACTGGTATAGGCTAGGCCATCTGTGTCTTTTGTAATCCCCCTTTCTGTTTTCAATTATGGAATGATTTAATGGAAACTAATTCTGGGACGTTTAAACTTGATTCTTCTTTTACCCAGATACAAATATGCTCCAAGTCGTTCAGTCAGTCTCATGCCACCCTCTCCTGTCTCTTAATGCACTGCTCCTCCACTGTTCTCTTTCTTCCTAATGGAACTAGCCATGGTTCCCGGGACTCAGAGGCAGCTCCAAAAAATGAGCTGCCACAGTGGCCAATTTCATCCTTACCTCATGACTCCCCAAATTTTCCATTCCTCTGAGTTTCTAAGTTCAGACCTCTTTTACTGGGGCCATGCAATAACTGTTTTCTAAGTCTTGTGCTCACTTACTGAGAGACACCTGGCATGCAGGAAGGTGCCAGGTATGAAACAGGCCACTCCTTGCTTTGCTGCCTCCCCACTAGACTCTTTCAAAGGGCCACCAATTCCATTTTCTTAAAGTTCCTTTCTGGAAAAACCTTCCGTGGTCACTTCCAAAGCTTTCTGAGCAAGGTCCAATGGTTTTTATCTATAGCTCAAAGCCCTTCATAACAGCTCACCTGGTCCCACACCCCTCTACACACACTCCCCTCCAGCCAGACACAGCCTTGCTGTGTTTGCTGCACACGCCACACTGATGCCCGACCCCACCCTGCCATGGCACTGGGCACCTGATGTTATGATTTTATGTCCACGGTGAGAGTCCTGTGTGTTTCCATTTGTGGGTACTTGAGTGAGAAGGCACAAGATCAGTCAATGAGTATATGAAACTAATACATTTGTTTAGAGAACCTGAGTGTGTGCATGTGCAGGTGGGATGATGGCTGAGGGGCCCTGAGCTGAGCAGGGTACTGTTAGGGGCTTGGGGCCCCAGCCAGCACAGTCAGCTCTCCACACCATTACCCCACCACACCCCCGCCCTACTTCTCTTAGCTCCAGGGCAGAGTGCACAGACACCGAGTAGAGAATCGGGTGGAACTCCTGCCCTCCCTGGCCACCTGGCTCCTCTGGCTCTGCAGGTCCCCATCGGACAGGCTGGGCCGCTGCAGGTTCACAAACTGACACTTCCTCCCTCGCTGCGCGGCTGGGAGGGGGCCGGGCCGTCGCGCCCCCCGTGACCAGGCGGGGGCCCCCGGGTGGCGGCCCCCACCCCGCCTCCATCCTCCCGAAGCGGGCCCCCGCGGGCTGTGATTGGCTAATTCAAACTCATCTGCAAAGAAATGCCTGTTTTGCGGGTTCCAGTCCGCGTCCAGTTCAAATCCGCGGCACCGGAGCGCGGGGCCGGGCGGGGGCAGGAAGCGTGGATGATTCATGCGCCGGGGCCTCTCCAGGGGTGGCCGAGGCCGTTGGCTTTTAAAAAAGGGTGTTTAGGAAGGAAAAAAAAAAAAAAAGAATGCAAGCCCACAGAAGTGCCCCATCGGATTCATGTGCTCGGCTCTTCAGTCCCCCTGATGCCAAGTCTTCTCTTATCCCAATCCTGCTTCAGCCTGACTTCGGACCTGAGTAAAATCTCAAACACCCTAGACTGTCCCCCAAAACAGAGAAAAGTAAAGGTTTGGAGTAAGAGACTAGCGACCTGTCAGGGTGTCTTCCCCCGGTCCTGGGCCCTGCAGAGCTCCCGCTGCCTCGCAGGCACTATTCCGTTCCCATCCCCCAGGCGCACAGCTCGGCAGGATTCCAACCCCCGCGCGGCGCTGGCCCCGCCAAAGTTCAAGATATCCAAAACAGAGTGAAGTGTGGAAGGGAAGAAGAGGGTGGCGGGGAGTCCCCTAACCCGGCCCGGCCGCCTGCAGCGCGGAACTTACCGCGAGGCTGCGTGTCTGCCGGTCCCACTTGGAGTCTGGCCACCCGGAGCATCGGCGGCGGCGGAGGCGGCTGCGCTCGGCCCGCGGCTGCCTGGCCGAGTGTCCGCCCGTGGGGCCGGGGGTCGGGGTCTTGGCGGGGGCGGGGCGGGGCGGGGGCGCCGCAGGGAGGATGGGGGAGGAGGAGGAGGGAGGGGCCGGGGCGCTCAGGAAGGGGCCCCCTAGGCGCGGGGCGCCATCTTTTTCGCGTTTTCCCGCGAATTATTGACGTCCCGCTTATGTAATTAGCTGGGGCCCGCGGCGGCCTCGCCATTGGAGCCCGCGGCCCCGGGCCCGCAGTGCCGCCCCAGTGCCCTGCCCGGGTCCCCGCCCGGCACGGGCACGTATCCTCAGCGACCACCGCGGACACGCTGACAGACAGGCGCGCAGCTGGGACACATACGAAGACGTGCTGTCCGCGCCACGACCCACACGGACGCACGACCCAGCGCACACGGCCCATATACTTGTCTGGGAGACACAGCCGGCTCTGCGCGCGGGGCTTAGACATACAGCTGGCAGCAGCCCCAGCAGGGAGGTGCAGGCACTTGGCGCGGGCACACACGACTCACAGCGGAGGCGCAGGCTGGGGACAACCCAAATGGATTAGCACACCCTACTCTTGGCAACGTTGACACTGCGCGTACAGAGACTCGCACAAGCGATATACAGAAACCGAGATGCAACCCACAGCACTGTTATGTTCGCAACATATTGCATCCACAACAAAAACACACAATAAAAGGAGAATTGCTGTACACTCAGGGCATAAACCGAAAACAGAACATGCCTGTAACCAAACCAGTGTAACGGGCAGAGAGTCACAACTCAGTAAAAACTGAGACACAAGAGGAACAACACACCAACAGTGCAGGCAAGGCACAGAAACACAGCACAAAGGCAAAGTTGCCAAGATAAAGTCTACACGCAAACACACTTTAAAAGTAAGTGGCCCACAAAAGACTCAAATGACCTGAGTTTTAGGAAAAAGAGATTGAGGTTATGGGTGTGACTCCATACAGATAAGACTCCTTGACTGGGGGAGGAAAGGCACACAGGTCCCTGTTAATTTACTCTTTGGGGGAGTGAGGGAGGGAAGGTAGTCATTAGGTTCCTAGGAGTCCACTCAGACCCTTATAGACAATGAAACTCTGAATGATTCAGTGTCATCCTCACAAGCTCTGCTGTGCTTAAACCCATTGTCCCAACCTGAGCATTGTATCAATCCAGTTTGTGGAAAAAATTTACCACCAACCATTCACACTTAGCATTCCCCCGCCCCCTACCTCACCTGCTCACATCATACTTTCAAGACACCGTGTGAGCTTGGGAGTGTTTGATTTTTTCCATGGATGTGACTAGTGGGCACCACTCTCTCTCCAGAACCCTCTCTCTTAATTGTCCTCTCTTTCCTGTCCCTGGGATGTGGGCCTCTGCCACAGCCCCCTAACTAAATTTGGGAGTCCTCTCTCTAAGCACAGTGACATCGCTGCTCCCTCTGATTGCCCATTTGGAATCTTCCAGCCATAGTACAACTTTGTCTCTGCTTGGGTCCCTAAAGAAGATTGGAGCAACTTTGCCAGGCAAGTTCTCCCAGTCCAGAGAGCAAATCCCCAAGTCCCTGAGGAATCTGAAAAAATATCTTATTTGTCTCCATTTTTCCAGGATAGTACTCTGGCAAAGCTGATGTGTCACATATAGAGGTCATTCCCCTTGACCTCTGAGTTGGGCTTATCTTGAGGATTCAAGAGACAGAGATCACAGAGAAAAGAGCTTCCCTCTGATTATTACAGGCCAAGTTCAAATATCACCTCCACAGATAACCTCTAGGTAGTGGGACCCTAAAAATCAACTCTTTTTACTTTGACTGTGATTTGAGAGAAAGCTTATAGATCACCTTGGTTTTCTGTTCATTTATACATGTGTTATTTTATAATATTAACTACAATTAATATAATCTATTAATCACAATGTCTGATGAGCCCTTTATTGTAAATGCCTTACCCTTAATCTAACTAAATTTCACTTGTTTACTTAATTTTCACTCCTCTCTTCCTCATTTCCCATCCCTCATAACCATCCAAGAATGATTCTGTCAGTAAACCTTCTCATAGTTTTTTAAAATTGTTGTTAGGTGCCATTGAGTCCATTACTACTCATAGTGACCAGCCAACCTGAACCCTGACCTATCCTGTGAATAGTGGTCTTATACAATATTTGTCCTTTCACTGTCATTTAGCATAATTTCCTCCAGATTTATCACTTATGCCATGTTTCATGGGAATTCTTTTTCATTTATTTAATGTTGCATAATACATTGTGTCAATGTATCATATTTTCTGTAACCATTCATCTGTTGATGGACACTTGGATTGTTTCCATCTCTTTGCTATTATAAATGATGCTGCAATAAACTTTAATTTGCATATATCAGTTTGTGTTACAGCTCTGACTTCTTTAGGATATACACCTAGTAGCGGAATTGCTGGCTGATCAACTTTTTTTTTATATAAATTGTTTTTATTTTAATAATGTTATAATTTTAGTGAACATTTACAGAGATTTTGGATTTCCATTCATTCATTGTTGCATTTTTCTCTCTGCTCTCCTCCCCGGCTCTGTTCACTCCTCTCTTTGAAAAGTAAAATTCTTTTTTTGGTATACAATCCCCCACACCCCTCCCACTGCCCCAAGTACACTCCACTATGCAACCTTAATTGTGATCAACTCTTAAATGTCAGTTTCCTCATAGGAAATAGAGTTGTTGCAATGGTTAAGGCTGGGTGCCAGCTTGGCTGTATATGATTCTCTGATTTGAGTTATGATGTAGTTATCCTCTTGATGAGATCTGATATATTGTTAATCATACCCTTGGTATAATTGATGTAATGTGATAACTTCCGTGATGAGATTTTCCAAGAATTGAAGACTTTGCTAAGGGCTGGGCCCTCCACCAAACAAATATGGGCCTTTGGCACAGTTCTCTTACCTTTGTCCCATAGGATCTTGCATCTGGTTAGTGATCATCTGACTTTCGACTTGCACCTGTGGCTTGCCGTATTGTCTGCCAATCTTGGATTTTCAGAGTCCAAAGCCAGTAGCCCGCCGTCTGATTGAAGATCTTGGGTGTGTCAGTCCCTGCAGCTCTCTCTGTGAGTAAGAGAACGTTCTGGTCTTATGGCTGGTCCGCGGACTTGGTACTTGCCAGCCTCTACAAGTGCATGAGCAATTTCCTTGAGGTAAATCTCTCTTCTACCCTCACCTTGTATCTGTCTGACTGTCTGTCTCTGTCTCTGTCGCTCTCTCTGTCTTTTCCATATATTTCACTGATTTTGCTTCTTTACATAAACCAGCCTAACACGAGAGGGTTAGAGTTAAAGTATGCAGCTCCCTAGAAGCCCAATGAGTACATAACAAGTTATTGTTATTATGTGTTGTTATTTCCTCCTGACTTTGCCAATAGATTATATATTCATGAAATACCCCTCTGTGTGGCAGGCCTAAAACTGAGAGTTGTGAGGCACATGGGTGAAGAGGAGGCAAAATGCCCAGAGCCTCAGGAGAAATTCAGGTGCTGGAAAAAACATGTATCAAGAGAGAAAATTGGATTTATAATGGATGTGGGATTAGGGGAGTCCTGGCTTCGGATCTGACTCTGCCTCTGAGTTAATAAGACATCTTGGGTGAGCTCATTCATCTTAGGCCTCATTTCTTCATATCTTCAGAAAGAAGGAACTAGCATTACCTATCTCCAGGGCTATTGCATAAATAAAGGTTAAAATAAGGTAACAAAGGAGCAGGTACAGGTGACTATCAGAAATATTGCAGATTTGGTCCCAGATCATCACAATAAAGGGAAGAAGATGTCAATAAAATATCAATAAATCTAGTTATATGATTTTTAAATTTTCCATTGCATATAAAAGTTATGTGGTCTATTAGTGTACACTAGCATCCCAATTAGATGCATTGACACAGTGACTGCAGCAAGGGGCTCCAACGTGTCAGAGATGATGAGGTTGGCACAGGATAGGCAGTGCTGAGTTCTTTTGTTCATAGGGTCACTATGAATTGTGCTCAACAGCACCTAACAACAATAGTATCATGAAGAAGTTTGAAATATTGTGAGACTTATCAAGATGTGGGACAGAGTCACCAAGTGAGCTCATGTTGTTGGAGAAGTGGTGCTGATAGATGTACTCAGTATAGGTTGGCACAAACCTTCACTTTGCTAAAAAAAAAACACACACACACACCACAAAAAACAAAACAAGTATGTGCAAGATGTAATTAAATGAAGTGCAATAAAATGAGGTACACTTATACTTTGTAAATGGAAAAGTAGTATGCAAAAAGAGAGTTGCTAAGAGACTCTGAAACAGAAAATTATTCATGCCACAAGAAAGGTATTGTGTCACTATTGATTGCTCAAAGGAGGGAACTCTTAACTTTTAATCAAGGAGAGAGCATAAGTTTCATTAAAAAGGTAGCATTTCAGTACCTTGTATTGGCTGGGAGACAGAAGGAATGGTATGTCCGTTGCTAAGGCTGAGAAAATTGTGTTTTAAGGGCTGGCGCTCAAGTGAGTGAAGGAAATCAGTGAAGTGGTAAGGTTGGAAGACAAGTTAGAACTGAGTTTGATGGCCTGAGCTTGACTAGCAGGCCACAGGCAAACCAGGAGCAGGGAGCATGGTTACAAATTGTGAATGGTTTGTTCTGGAAAGAGTCACAGGAATCTAGAGCAGAGTAGTGCCATGATCCAAATTTGCTAAGGAAAGATAGATTTGGAGTGATCCAAAGTGTAGAAGAAAGAGAAAGAGAAATGATCCAATTGAAAAAAACAATAACACACAACTGTGTTAAGGATGTTAATTGTTGTTATGTGCTGTGAAGTGCCATGATCCAAATTTGCTAAGGAAAGATAGATTTGGAGTGATCCAAAGTGTAGAAGAAAGAGAAAGAGAAATGACCCAATTGAAAAAAACAATAACACACAACTGTGTTAAGGATGTTAATTGTTGTTATGTGCCGTGAAGTTGCTTGACTCATAGCTATCCTATGTACAACAACTCTGAACCCTGCTCTATTTTGAGCCAGTTTCATTGTCTCTGACACACCTACCTCCATTATGCCAGTCACTTAGTCAGTCCACCTCATCCAATGTTTTCCTCTCTTGTTTTGTCCCTTGACCCTTGCAAGACCTTGCA